GTATAGCTGATTTAAAGAATGATGCAGGCTTATTTTTCTAGGAGTTGTGTTTTCAATAGAAAAATGTGCTTGAGGCCAAAAACATTATAGAAGTCCAATTTAATTCTGCTCCCCTTCTTTCTATGATAGTTTGCAGGTATAACAATATAATAAAAGCACCATTGTGCTGTACTGACATTAGTCACTCACCCTGTGTCACAGTCTATTAACTAGCTGTGTATGTGTGTGTGTGTGTGTGTGTGTGTGTGTGTGTGTGTGTGTATGTGTGAAAAAATTTGATGGATAGGCCAGGGGGCTGATGGGAAAAGACTAGATCAATTACAGAGATAGAGCAGCAGATGAAGGGACAGACCTGCTGACCTTTAAGACCTCTCCCTCCCTCTCTCTATCCCACCCTCCCTTCCTCCCATACTTCCAATTCATTTTCTCCACTCGTCCTTATCAGCTTCTCTGCTGATTTGCTCTCATCTTTATCATCCAGTCTTTATTTCCTTTCCTCTATAACCTCCCAACTTCTCTCCTTTTCTCTGTCCTGCTTCTCCCTTCCCTTATTACAGCATCCCTCTCCCGTTGTTGTCGTGGTAACCATCTCTTTCCCCTGTCCCCCTCTCTTCCACATATTGTCCTCTTTTCTCCTGGTCTTCTAATCTTTCCTTCATTTTACCTCCCTCACCTGTCTCTCCTCTCTTCTCCTCTTTTCTTCCTCTGGCCTCTCTCCTCTTTTCCTGTTGCTGTGGAAACCCCCCCTCCCCATTCCTGTCCTATTGTCTTTGAGTCACATATGAATATTTAACAAGTCCCGACGTCCAACGTCTCTCCACATCATCTCTTGTCATTTATCTTTCTGCTTCTCCTCTTCCCTTCCTTCCTTCACTCTTCTCCTCTCCATCAGCCTCCCCATCTGTCACCATGCTTACTCCCGAGTCTCTCTCTATAACTTCTCCTTCATCTACCTCTCCTTTCTCATCCTGTACTGTGATTTTAGTCATCTTCTTTCTCCTTTTCCTCCTTTGTGCCCTCCTTCAACCCCATTTTCTCTTCCAAGTCCACCTTCTCCTTGCTGTTCTGTTTACTCAATTTTAATTTCTCTTCCTCCCTGTCACCCCTTTATCTCTTATTACTCCCTCTTTCTCTGACAATTATCCTTTCCTCATTCGAATGCCTCCACCATTGTATTTTTCATTTCATGCCCTTTAAGCCTTTCTTTGCCCCTTCTTTCACTTTCCTAATATATCCTCCATCTAACTTCCTTCACCCTCTTTCTTCCTTTACCACCTCAACCTCACCATAAACCCCTGCTCGCTTTTATATTCTTCTATTTTCTCCTCTATTTTCTGTTATTACACCCATTTCTCACCAAGGCTCTCTCTTTCCTTTTCCCCTGCTCTTCTTCTTTTCCCCTTCCATTTCTCTCCCCCCCCCCCCCCCCCCCCCCCCCCCCCCCACTCCCCCCACTCGTCAGTTTCACTCACTAATGAACACTGTTTTATTCCACAGCTGAAAGGCCACCGACACGCTGGAGGGAAGGAAACAGGTGTAGTGACAAATCTCCACCTGTGTGAGAATGTCTGTTTATTCCAACCTCTGTGAACCTTACGTTCTATTTTTCTTTCTGTGTGCCTTGGTTTTACAACACGTTTCTGGTTATCTGAAGATTTGCAAGACCCCCCCACCCCCCTTTATTTTAAAATGATGAACAATAAACAAAGCTCATTTTTACAGTTTTTGAGGTGAGTTTCTTTCGTAAACAACGCTACGTCCAGATGAACAGATTCAACTTTTGGAGATTTACTTTCCTGGATGATTGAGAATGCATCAAGAAGTTTCTTTCGTAATTGACTCATCAAATCAGATCATCTAATCATTGAGTAGTCAAATCAGAAGTTAATTAGAATAAGCTTGTTTGCACCTTCCAGTATGAATGGCATTCCCATATTAAACACACACTTGATGGAGGACAGTAACTGACTTTTGAATCAAGCTGCAATTTTCAGGCCTAAAAAAAGCCAGTGCAGAAATGTTAAGAACTGCAGTTCCACTATAGGCCACACCACAGACTTCCATGGTAAACCATGAAACTTTAAAGATTCACAGCTTTGGTTTCTATGGATAGTTGCCTCCTTCACATCTGCAGAATGGGTGACTCTATTGCTCATAACTACTTCTATTCAACTGTATTTGTTGTTGTGGTGTCTATTGGATTAGAACTATCTCAGAAACATGTTTTGTTGTTTGCTACATACCATCCTGTAGCTTGCTTTTTGTTTTCAGGTTGCTGCTGGTTGTGTAATTGTGTGGGGGATATTTTGGGTTGAGTATTCTTGCTGACCATGTCCATGCCTTTAAGACCTCTTTTCAGCAGAATAATGGAGCATGCCATCAAGTTAAAAAAAACCCAAATAATGCTTTCTTGAACATGACCATGAGTTAACTGAAGTCAAATGCTCTCAGGAGTCACCAGATCAGATGTGGTGACGCTATCATGTCGGTGTGGACCAATATCAGATCTGAAGGCAACAGAGAACACCAGCAACCACCTTTTTTATGTCTAATAAAGCAAAGCACAACTACACAAGTTGTGCTTTACCACAAATTATCATTCATATGTTGTACTCTATAATTTCCTATTTTAGGAATTAATTTATTATTGAATGTGTATCTTTCATCAGTGCATTTTAATTAAGTGTTATTGTGCCGTATCAAGAGAAAATAAGAAGCTTGGATGAATACATAATTAATTACATGAATATAGCAGTTAAGGTTAAGATAATAGAAACACTTTAAATGAAATCAATTAAATTAAATGTGATCATCTGACTCAAACTTTTATTGTTGTTACATTGAAGGCGTGTCCTTTTTTTCAGTGCTAATTGTGCTAACTATTACTTACTCATCACATTTCACTGATTAATTTTAAGGGATTCTGTCACCGTTTTACTATGTGAACTTTATATAATTATTTGTCACTCTGTGAACATTACTGACACTTCCTGTCTGCAATAGTTAAGAAACACACTCAGGACACAATAACCCTGCACAAACCTCCCGTTATTTGAAGAAGACGCTGTGATGTCAGTGTGGACCAGAAGATAGGCAACAGAGAACCTCTGCAAGCACATTTTTATTACGTCTACTATAGCAAGACGCCATGCGGCTGCTGTTCTATAGGAGAAATAGTGCAAGTTTACATATGTGCTTAGTTTATTTAATCTTACTGTTACTGTCTTACTGTTCATTTTAACGGCACATTATATTGGCTGTTGATGCACTCTGAGAAGGTTGAAGATCTCCACAAAAGCAAGAAATTACGCTAAATTTTTGTGGTTACAAACTGCTAAAAATGACGCTGCTGTACTGTGTAGACTATTAACTTGCTATGAAGCTATTTCACTGCAGTTTTAATGTCATTTTAGGAGTTCTAGCGAAATCCCCATAAACAGTTTCAGCATCTCCTCATCGACGTACCCTGAATTCAGTTTCTTTCCTAAACTATGTGAAGATATCAGCTCTATTGCAATTTACAGTCTCTGTAATGATAATATTGATGACACATTGTACTTGTTGTCATAAATGTGCTTTTCTCCACAATGAAACATCAGAATCACTTTTATTGTAAACAAACGAGGAATTTGTTGTTGTGCCATATAGGGCAAAAAACAGTGGCGCAGAAATATAAAAAATAGATACACACAAAAGGGGTTTATGCCAACTACTGACAGATACAGAATACAAATGAGAAAATAAGAAATATGTAGCGATTGTGAGCGGAGGGGTGGAGTGTAAAATATAGGTAGGACATGATGTGCAAAGTGCATATCAGTACATATCAGTCACACCTACTTCACATGCTGAAGCACCGAAGCGGTCGGCGCTCTGCTCACTCAGCTCATCTGAGAGCTTTGCTGCCACTCACTGCTGATGCTGTGCACGTAGCATTTCAAAAACTACCTCTGCAAACATCCACCTGTAGGCTCTGAGTCAACATTCCCCTAGGGGGGGGAAGTTATTATCATCGCTCCCGATTCTCTGCTCACTCCCTGCTGAGGTATGTATTTCCTCATGGAGCCTAGATGCCAAATATCAAATCCATACTACTTTTACTGCAGCTGCCGCTACTATATACCACATTACTATACTGAAACTACAGCTCATTTAAAATAACTGGCTTGTAATATTTAATCTTTCAAAGAAGTTACTTCAGTCAATTTCAAACAAATCACTACCACAGAAACAATAAAATATTACTTGAAGTAGTATAGGAGAAACTGGCACCTGAATCTGGCATTACACTGTTAAAAAGTTGCTGTAAAATTCCAGGTTGCTAGGTTTGATAGCTTTTAACTATTACTTTACACTGAACTTCCTCTAATCTACAACAACAGTAAAATAACAATACTGTTCTGTAAAAAATATGAGCTTTGCAGTATAATATTGTTAAATATAAGGATACACCTCGGAAAAAAAGATTTGAAGCGCAGATATAACTTATAATATTTTAAATGTATTCTTCAAAAGTGCAGGTTTTCATGGAGTATTTTTAGCACAATATTTTAGCAGTTTACATTAACTTTTAGCCACTCCTAGGCCTCTTTTTTTCATGAGGGGGTTGTGTATCCATCTTTTCTCAAAGGTTCCTCCAAAGGTTATTTAGGAACAGTAAGGACCAAAATCAGTAATTCAAAGAAACCTCTAAGAGGATTTTTCAGTAGATGACCTCAAACAGTTCTGAGCAGCAGAACACCAGTTAATACAACCAATTGCTGGGGTAACTATTTGTGATTCATGGTTTCTATAACAACACATAGAACACACAGCTGTCTAAACAGTTTTAAATCAATGCTGCAACTGAATTTAACATAAAGACAAAGACATTCATTGTTTCTATGACTAAAGGCCCACAGAAACAATGTGTAACAAGGACACTCGCCTCTGTGATGTTGGTGTAGTGCAAAACATCAATCAGCAACGCCCGCTACAACATGTTCACAATGCAGACTTACGTTGGCAGCTGAATCCTCCGCGGGTTTTGTTCCTCCCTCTTCTGGTAAGTCCGGCGCCGTGGGCACTGAGACAGGCAGCAGGGGAGAGCGAGCCTTACCGGCCTGACCCAGAGAGGCCGTCTTCACCTGGGGCTTCGGGAGGCTCGCACCTGGAGACACAGATGAAGTTTTTTTTCAACAAGTGTTTGCTCCTGGGATTTGGGGTTGTTTTTTTTTTTTTTCAACTTTTACTTGCTGACATCAAATTTGAAAATGTTTTTCGTGTAGTGTCCACTTTTTTAAGTTATGATGTTCCAACAACAACTAGGATGACTGAACTGAACCTAATGAATGCTGTGCTTGTCGATGTCGTACTGAAAGCGCATCAGCTAATGAGTGCTAGAATGTCACTGTATACAGCCTGTTTTACATTCTCATTTTAAGTTGTTTTCCACCAAATGTGGGTGATGTCAGCGATGAGGATGGGGGAAGGTTTTTATCAAGATATAGAGGGAAAATCCATCTGTTTGGAAAAAACTATATCAGGGAAAGTATAATCCGGGCAGGATGGGTGACAACTGCTGGTTCTTGCAAACAGAGATGGATATGCACGCTGACCTTGTTGATTTGTCATCTGGTTTGTTTTCAGAAGAAACCCATTTCAACAGTGTTGATGGGAAACACTGAATGAAACATAAAAATCTTTGTATTATATTCTTTGACTTGCTACTAGGAATCGACCACAAAGAAACAAAACAAATAACTGCAGACAAAAAACAAAGATTGAAACAAGACGACAAGAAAAAAAAGAAAGGACCTCAACAGTTACCTTTGTATTGCCGACTGCTGGCCAGGTATTGCATCACTTTAGAGTTTCTCTAAAATGGATGAGTACTTGCATGGTACTTTTTCTTGTTGGACACTCAACGCACTTTTATCTACAAACCACACTCATCTGTTCACACACACATCCATAGTACTTTATTATGTGTGTGTAGTATGAGTGCTCACACACAGTGTTGGGGAGTAACGGAATACATGTACCGCCGTTACGTATTTAAAATACAAAATATGAGTAACTGTATTCCGTTACAGTTACCGTTTAAAAAGGTGGTATTTAGAATACAGTTACTTTGCTGAAATAAATGGATTACACGGCGGTATTTCAATACTTGAAATGTGCAATTCACTTGTATTTTTATTTTTTATTCCTATTTATTCTATTTATCCCCTTCGTATATTTTATTTATATTGTCTCTGTATTTATATATATGTGTGTGTAATATTCTGTAACTCTGTAACTTCTGTCGGTGCTGTGCTTTTTTGGAAATCGAATTTCCCAGAGGAACCCACCCGAGGGATTAATAAAGTTCTATCTATCTATCTATCTATCTATCTATTTTCCTGTTTCATATTGTGGCGGGTCAGGCCTGTTTGGGTTTTGTTTGCTACGTTCTGTTGTTCCAGGTGGCAGCGTTACGGTTGCCATGGTTACAGGGCGACGCTCGCTCTCTCTCTGCGACTGTGTGTTTCCTGGGTGAGAGAGGCCTTTTTGTTGTTGTTGTGCTAAGCTAACAGGCAGAATGCTACCGGTATAGCTCTAAAGAATGTAGCATCATAGGCAGTGCAGTCCGTGTTGCAGGGAGAATGGACTGCCATACACGTTATGTGTCTGTGAGCGCGAGGAGGGAGAAAGAAAGGAAAAGTACGAGCTGTCATCGAGCAAAAACGGGAGCTGGAAGCATGTAAATATAATAATATTTATTATTATAAATAAATATGTCGGGCTACGTGTCGGGAGCACGTATTAGTCAGAGGTCCCTTTACTACGGTTCGGAGCCGCGGACCTTCAGTAACAGTAATAAATCACAGCAATAGTACATTCATGTAGTTGTAAACAGCATGATAATATATTAGGTAATCCAAGTACCGTATTTCCCGGACTACAAAGCGCACCTGAATATTAGCCGCACAAGCTAAAATCAGGGGAAAATCCTGTTTTGTACATACATTAGCCGCACCTGACCAAAAGCCGCAGGTGTTTCAATGTTGACTTATCATATGTAAGAGAATATGCGCAAAGGGAATTGTCAGGAAAGAGATGGCTGTTTGGAGACACACCCCTTTTATTAATATTTTGAAAAACAAGTTATGGGTACATATTTGCATAACTTTTTAGGTATATGTACAATAGCGGTAATTACAAGTACGAAACATGTACTGTGCTTCATAAATGAGTAACAAATGTAGTACATAACAATAACCTGCAGCACACCAGAAAAATAGATTCGGACTACCTTTTAGGCTCAGGTGCAGTGACACGGCTTTAACAAGAAGAAAAGTCAGTCATTCACCACCATCTTTCTCTTCTTCCTGCACACTGAAACCACCAAAGTCCTCTCCTCCAGTGTCGGATACGAACAGGCTCAGGATGGCTACGTCATCCACTCTCCGCTTCTTTCCTTTGTTGTCACTTTCAAAACCAAAGAAATCCTCGTTGTCAGTGTCGGAGTTGAACACCCTCTGAAGGGCCGTGGCGATGTCCTCCTCTCCATAATGCAGCAGTCCAGCCCTTTGAAATCCGTTGGTGATCATGGATGTTTTCACACTTTTCCACGCTGTCAGATTCCACCGGTGGAGTTGAGCATAACTTGCTTTTCGCAAGTTTATCGCCGCTCGTCATCCACGACTCCCGCTGAACGCGTAGCGTTAATTTGAAGTTTGTTTTTCGCGCTACTTGTACGGCACTATGTTGCCTGGCGGATGGACACGTGACCAACATACCACTCTTGAACCCCGATCCTGTGTGTCTGATCACATGCCCTTCTGCCAGGCAACGTAGTGCCGTACAACAGCGGAACAAACAAAACAAATCGTCTTACAATATGACAAAAATCATGGACAATCCATAGAAAAGCCGCACCTGACTAAAAGCCGCAGGGTTCAAAGCTTGTGCAAAAAGTAGCGGCTTGTAGCCTGACAATTACGGTATTCAGAATATGTTACTCTCATTGAGTAACGTAACGGAATACGTTACAGAATACATTTTGGGGCATGTATTCTGTATTCTGTAATGGAATACATTTTAAAAGTAACCTTCCCAACACTGCTCACACAGAATAAAATGATTCCACACTGATGGATGCAGTGAAGGCACATTCGGGTTCAATATCTCACCCAAGGACACTTCAACATGACTGCCAACTTTCCAATTACTGGCCTTCCCCTTCTTCCTCCTAAGCTACAGCTGCCTAAAAATATTAGAGGCATTTATGCAAATGGAAAAATGGCTCGGAAGTTATTGACTTCCAGGGGATATCCCAAGTGGGTACTTATCCTCTGGTAGTACCTAGAACTGCTAACTGGGCAGGCCACTAGGGGGTACTACAGACTTCAAAAGTATTAGTCAAAGCAATTAAAGGTTCTAATGCTCTTTCTCCTCTTTTGGCTATAAGTCTGGTTGCCTGAGGCTCTGTGGCCTGCAGTTACTATTGAGCTGTTCCACAAAGTGAAATTTTATTAATAGATAATCAGGCCAGGCCTTGTTTTGCAGAATGGCTTGTTTCCTGAAAATTGCTTTTTAATACTGACCTCCATGTAGTCTGTAGTTTGACCTGATAACACAGAGCTCCTATTGATTGCTCTAAATGACAAATTCATATGTAACTAAGTGAGCCATCAGACTGCAAACAGATTTAGAGTCTGAGCCATTCACTCATCTGCATGAAAATCCATCCACCCATTCATCTAACACTTTCCAATTCGTATAGTCCATCGCTCTTAGTCAATAAAAATGAAATGTAAACATAGAAATACTTGGAATGGACCACAAAGTCAACTAACAAGGAAAGAAAGCAACTAGGAACAAAATAAAACTGGCCTTCAAGCAGAAGACAAACTAATGAATAAAAGACAAAATATATAAATAAATACATGTAATTGCTGTCTCCACAATACAAACAGGAAATTGAAAGATCTCCCCATACGCACTACAAAGCGAAGGTGATGAAAAGAAAAAAACTGGAGACCAAAGACATTTTTTTCCTCATCCCTGAGTCCCTGAATAGCCTCCTCATATCTGAAGACGTCCTGAGGCTTCTTCCACCCACAGCCCCCTCCTCCATTCTCTGCCCTGCACTACTTCACTTCACTTGATCGATACATCTATTCTGCTCCCTGAGAAACAAAACACCTGGAACATCTTTGATAGGAGTGGATTACACCGGAGACTGCCAAGTTTTAAACTACTTTAAACATTAACGGTGTAGAAAACTTCACGTTATACTGTGTACTCAGTAATTTATTAAAGCACAAAATGGGAAAACAGGTAATTGTACGAACAACAGAAGTACGACACCAACTGTCCACACGCTCAACAAAGAATATACACAATTTGTAAAGAAGGCAGCAAAGTCCTTTTTATCACATTATAAAAGCAAAACTGGCTTTGGAAGTATAACTCTTTTGGGATTAGAGAAACACTGCAGTCATGCTGGCTGTTGATTGAAAGAAACAAAATTGGTCAACAAAAGTTGACAGTGCTGGCTCAGTGCTGGCCTGGCTCTTTGATCTAACTGTGTTTAATCAATGAAGGAGTTGACCAATTATCGGGGTTTCTACAATTTTTGCAAATGAGTGAAGCTGATTTATGCTGCTAGCACAGTTATACTGTAATAAGTGTAAGCAGAGATTGCTACACCACTGATCCTTCAATTACCTTATTTTTCCTTTGAATATGAGCTTGTTTTGTCATTTTTTAAAATATCTTTTAGAAGTGTGGCTACAACAGTCAGGTGTCATTTACACTGGGTTGCGTATACAATTTGAACCTGACCACCTGTATGTTTGCATTTTTCACCCGCCAGAGCTGGAAGAAGGGAACTAAAAATATAAATATGCTTAGCATTTTTCATCTAGACTTGTGGAGTGTACTGACCTTGGACGGGCACCAGAGTGGCTTTGAGTCTGTATTTTTCAGTCCGGCTTTCACAGTAATACTGACCTTGTGCGGCTCTGAATGTCTCTACGTCTGGTGGAGAAATTGCTGCCAGCTTCATTTCCAACTGAAGCACGACCAAATGCGTTTGTATGACTTCTCAGCACGCTGCTGTCAGACCGAATCCAAACTGAACTGAGCTCCAGAAAAAAAAAAAAAAGAAAAAAATGTGGA